CACACACACACACCCCCCCCCACCCGTTGAGGAAAATAAGCGGGAGGAGGAAGAGAAGAGACCAAAGTTGTTGAGCAAAGAAAAAAAAGAGGGAGCCAGAGAGTTAAGCAAAAAAATTTTTTTTTAAATTAAAAAAAAAAGAGCATGGCCCCCTTTAATAAATGCTTTTGAGGCTTTTTGGCCCTAACAGGTTGCAGGCAACCATCTGCCATCTTGTCTCCCAGCTCCGGGTCAGATAGCTCACCTGCAGAACCAGGTAAGCACTCAGGATTTTCACCTCCTAGCGGGGGGGGAGTGGGGGTTCAGAAAATACTGGAAATTTTAGGTGTCTGGTATTTTCTGAATTCCCCCCCCCTCCCCCAGCCAGCAGGTGAAAATACTGGACTGTCTGGGTCAGTAGCGAACACCTGGCAACCCTATTCCTAAGTCTCTGGACCACGATTCCTCCTTAGGTTAGAATTCTCTTCTCTTTATAATTTAAGAACAAGCTATTTTATTTGCCTTTGTGTGTAAAAGATAACTAGAACACTTTATAGATGGGCAAATGATTTCATTCTAAGGGTTGGCAATTTCTTTTTTTTATCCTGGATTGACAAATCATTTCTAAACTAGCAGAGGTAAGTGATCTTAACCAAGTCCTATTAAACTGAATTAAATATTTAGATTCAGTTACTTAGAAGCCTTTTAAGAGTTACTCATCTAAAGTAACATCTCTTATAAACACACCTCACTTTCAGGACCACTCCTTAAATTCAATTAATTTCCTTGTTTTAAGATCCCTAATATTTAAAGTGCCATTATTTTTGTTTATTGTTCAGATTAAAGCTAATTAGGCTAGGGTTAACTGAAATTGTTGCAACAAGTACTGACATTCAATTTGGCTGCGTCTAGACTGGCATGATTTTCCGCAAATGCTTTTAACGGAAAAGTTTTTCCATTAAAAGCATTTGCAGAAAAGAGCATCTAGATTGGCATGGATGCTTTTGCGCAAAAGCACTTTTTGCGGAAAAGCATCCATGCCAATCTAGACCCGGTTTTGTGCAAGAAATCCCCGATCGCCATTTTCGCCATCGGGGCATTTTTGCACAAAACAGTCCTCCCCTGTCTACACTGGCCCTCTTGCACAAATATGTTTGTGCAAGAGGGCTTATCCCTGAGCGGGAGCATCACCGTATTTGCACAAGAACACTGACAATCTTACATTAGATCATCAGTGTTCTTGCGCAAATTCAAGCGGCCAGTGTAGACAGCTGGCAAGTTTTTCCACAAAAGCAGCCGCTTTTGCGGAAAAACTTGCCAGTCTAGATCCAGCCTTTCAGTATACCATCCATATCACAAAAGCAATCCCAAGAAATTAAACTGTTCTTGTAGTAAACATCTCACCAAAGATGTTATTGCCTTGGTGAAGTCATCACATTGCAGCAGCAGCACTGGAATAAGCTGATTCTTGGTGTAAAATGGCTTGCTTACCTTTCGTCTGGGGATGAGGAACAGGCTGAAATGAGAGAGTTTAGTTGGTGTCTCTGATCAGAGATATACACTTCTTCCATAGTGCTGCTTTCTGCTAGCAAGACCTACCTGCCCGAAAGGCCAGGTGTGCCCGGCCCACACGTTAGTCTAGGACAGTGGTTTCCAAACTTTTTGGCATCACACCTTTTTGATTTTTGAGAAACCCTCATGCTCCACTCCTCCCTCCCCCCCAAAAAATAGCAGCAAAACTTGAGAAAAAAAAGTTGCCCTTTAAGAGCCGAGCAGGCATTGCCCTTTTAAGGCAGCCATTCTGAAGTCTGCCCAGGACACTCCATCCTTCCCCCTACCCCAGCCAGCCTGAGCTGCATGTGTTCCAGTGGACACCCGAGCCAGGAAAAACAGAAAGTACCAGACATTTCACATGGTATTTTCTGAATTTTACCAGATGGACTGGGCTCTCTTGGAGGAGGAATTGATGGGGAGCTGGGTTGCCTCATGCCTCCCAGTTTGGGAACCTATGGTCTAACTGAAGGAGGAAGACCCCTCTTTCAAGGGCTCAGCAGGATCCTAATACAGCAATTCCTCATTTAACACTATAGATATGTTTCAGAAAATGATTGTGTTAAGTGAAAACATTATATGGAGTCAATTTTCCCATTGAAAATAATGGAAAAGGTGGGAGTTGAATTTCAAGCAGTGGTGTTTGTTGGGACTAGGACATAAGGTTGGGGGAGAAAGGGGACTGGGTTTACAGCAGGGAGGGGAGGTGTTTGGCTCTGGGGAAAGGAAGGAGAGGGGAGGGGGACTGGGTTGGGAATAACCCCTTGATGGGTCTTCCAGGACCCGCACTGCGTCCGGCGAGGGGAGGGGGAGGGGAAGTCAGCAGGGAACAGCGCGGCGAGCAGCGGGCGCCGGAGAGTGGGGGGGGGGGGTCGCCAGGGAACGGCATGGCAAGTGGCAACCCCTCTGCCGCTTTGCAGAGAGGTGGGGGAAGCCCCGCGCAGCCGCCAGTGACAGGCCAGCTGGGAAAACCCAGCCGCTGGCCTGCAAGCGGGAGCGGAGGAGAGGGGGCAAGGCAGCCAGCAAGGGGGAGTCTGCAGGGAACGGCCTGGTGAGCAGCAAACCCTCCACCACTTTTCAGAGAGGCGGGGGAAGTCCCGCACAGCCACCAGCAACGGGCCAGCTGGGGAAATAGTGTTATTCTGGGACAGTTGTGTAATTAAAAAAATGTTCCCTAAAAAAAATTGTGCTATAGTGAAAACGTGTTAAGCGGGCACCTGTTAAATGAGGAATTACTGTATCAGCTACTGTCACTTACTGGCTCAACACCTTATAGGATAGTCCTATTAGAATCTTCAGTTTATGCATTAACAGGTTGTATATTTATGCACAGCAAAGCTGTAAATCTTCAACATCCTGTTCATACTGCTTGTCTCCCTGACAGAAAACAGTGCCATTTTACAGTCAGCTGTTAAGTTCTTTTGGAGATATTCATCAAGGTTTAATAACTGAATTAGTTTCAGATTACACCAAACTTTTCTATTTAACATTTGCTCAGCTTTTAAATAGTCTGGTTAAAAAAATCTTTGGTAATTATTAATTTAAGTATTTAGACTGTACTGCCTTTGACCATTTAAGATGTGGTTCTTTTCTCTGAAGTTAAGCATTGCGATACCCACTTAATGCCTCCCATTATATAAACTTTCTAGTCAAATTAATTAGTAACCAGTTATCACAAGGTCACATTTTATATTCACATGTGAGTAGTAAGATGTTACATGTCAGTGGTATAAAAAAATATTGCATTAGATATTTCCATATAGATATAAGTGACCATCACAAATGTGCTCATCTCAAGCATTTAAGGAATAAGGGGTTCTCATCATAGTGGAAACGTACTGTAGAAGTAAACATTTCCCATTTTTATAAATGGGAGATAAGATTTGAATTTCTATTACAATACTTTTCCTCTAGAGTATTTCTAGCATTCATTACGTGATATTAAAACTGAAGTGTCTTTCTGGAGAAAGGGGTAATAAGATTCCTTGCTTAGTTTTTGTGGTCTTGAATGCTCATATCCCGTAAAGAGAGGTGTCCCACTTTAGAAGGCACTTCTGTTGGCTCTGACTTTTAACCAAAACATTTCAAGGTTTGTAACCTACAGTAGCTTCATCCTCAATTCGAAAATGAAAAATTACTAAATGCTATATTTATATTGGTAGAAAGCTATGTTAAAACAAAAACTATGTACAGTATTTCAGCAAGCCAGAAGGAGGTAAAGGCAAAGTGTTATTTGAAAATAGTCCTAAAACACTGCTCTTCTGTAGCAAAACGGACACAGCAATTCCCAGCCTACAGAGCTTCCACATTACAATGGAAAGAACTATTCCTTTGAGAGAAGATACTGGTCAGACTCCTTTCACAGAAATAAGGTTTGACGGATCTGGTTTCTATTCCCAGATCAGCCAGTGGCTGCTGGGTGACCTTGAGCAAATTATTTTACCTCTGTGCCTCAGTTGCCTTATCAAGGGGGGAATAAAGGTACTGCTATCCTCTGTAAAGGGCTTGGAAATCTACTGATAAAAGCCTTATGTAGGAGCTAGGGCTTATACACCCTATAATTACTCAATTAGTACAGTCACAGCAGCGAATATCCATTTGATAAATGCTTCAGCAAACAACTGAGGAGAATGGTGGTACGGCTAGCCTGAAAACAAAGGTGCAGCATATTTCATTAATTATTCAAATAAAATTGGCATTTGCAGATGTACTGGTTAGCAATTTCTGTGGGGGCAGATCCTTTGGAAGGGAATATACCCTCCTGCTGAGGACTGTTAGGAAGAGTGCGCTCTCACCCCCTCATGGAGCTGTGAATACATTAAAATCCTAACTTGCAACAGTCTGTAGTCCCAGCCCTATGCCCCTCCTAAACAGCCTGTTGATTGTAAAGTCATTTTGCAATATGCAAAAAAAACCCACAGAGCAGTGCAGAAACAAGACTTTTCCCTCTGATTTAAGCTAAACAGCCAGCTTAACAGGTATGGCAGAAACTGAACATTTCACAGGAATGTATTGCCATTAGTTTCAGAAGGCTAGTTAAAGTTTAAGTTTGTTGTGCAAGGTCCTCATTAAAACTACTGGCCCATTAAAGTCTGCATGTGTTTTGGCAGAGCAACTCAGGTGTCCTGCAGCGTAGGTGCTATTGCCGTCCAGCCTTGCACTTTCAAACAGAAGCTAATTTGGACAAAAGACAGCCCTGCTATCCATTATCTTACAGGTGGTACTGTTTTGCTCTTTGCTTCAGCTGTAATACTGCTTCTAAAAATGCAGAATGCTTCTGCTATACAGAAAGATTGACACCCCTTTCTGCAACTGATGCTTTTTCTCTCTCAGGGTGTGAAGTGCACACACTCACAGCAACAGCATGTATGCAGGATTTGGATGAAGAAAATAGGCACGACACTTCCTTGCACAGTCACACAGAAGATACTTATCTGAAGGGTAATAGGAAATTGATACCAAGACAAATCTGGAGTTCCAGTGAGCTTTTATTGAGCTTAATCAACAAAATCAGGATTTTACCATTTGTGTTTTCTGTACTCTGAACTCAAGTGAAAATTTTCACAGAGTTGCAGCCTTCCATCATACACATGTACACAGATATACACATTCCCAAGGAAAACTCAGCTCCACTGGACAGTTTGCCAATTTAACAAAAAGCCAATTTTCCCTCCCTCCCTTGAATGTTCCAAGTTATAGATCACCCTGTTCACTTATCAGTGGAACACAGCCCTTTTGACAGGGGACCAATGGATTATAAACTGACTTGAGTTGCAAACAAAAAACCTTTTAAGTTCTAGTTTGTTTCAATAAAGGGAACAGTGACTATTTTTCTCCAGACACCCCTTCCCCACAATTAATGGTTAAAATACAGCAAGCCTGTATCTTAGTATACCCTATCCCTCCCCCCGCCCATTCCCAATCTTGTCTACACAAGACTTTAACAATGCTTCAAATGTGAAATGCTTTTATGTGCAGAAAAAGTGGAAAGAGCAAAGCTATAAGGCATGCTATCCTCCTCATGTACCAACTTTTTCATCTGGCATACTTTTCACTGCAGAGACCATGCATTTATTATAAAGAGAAGCGCACTGGTTTAAAATTGGATTACAAGGGTCATGGCATCCAAATATTTTTGGCTTGGACTAATTTTATCAAATTTTTGCAGTGCAAGAAATGCTATTCTAGTCCCTGACAGCAGAGTTCACTCTGTTCCTGTGAAGCAATATGGTCCTTGGCACCGGCAGCATCATCAAGTCCATTGCTGGCAATGTATAGTTCACCAATAGAATTGGACTCCCGGCACAGACAAAAAATTCATGTGATTTGTTAAAAAAAACCACACACACCACAAACAAAACTGGAACAGTGCTTTAAACACAGACTGAATGATGGTCTCTGCGTCAGCATGTCAGTCGCTGATGGAATACAACCATCTGAAGCATTTCTAAATCCTTGATGCAGACACCCTCCCCCTCCCACCACTAAAACAAAGTTAGTCAGAATGAGATGATTTTATGCCATCATGTATGCAAGATCTTTGTGTCAAGCTTTCATGTTCTCACCCAACTTCATATAAACAGACACAAAGCAGAAGGCAAAGGAAAGATGCTCCCATCTCATTCTGGAAATGAAAATATTTAAGACCAACCCACCCCCCTCCCCTTGGAAAACCCTCCAGCTACAGTAGTGCATTTGTACAATACACTTTGGAGAAGCCAGTTTAGATAGATAGTTGCAATTTAACTAGTTACAGACTTGTGCCCCCACTTCACTACCACCTCCTTCCACTTGTGGGGTTTAAGATACAGGGTCTATATCAGATTTAAAGGCGTACAATGTAATTTTTAGCCTTCTGGGGGAAAATATGGTAAAGCATGTAAAATTCTCAATATCCTATTAAGAACTTCACCACACAACAAGTGTTCGATTTGGGGATTATTAAAAGCAGGTACTTGCTCTGAATAAACAAGTACATGGAAATGTTGGCAAGTAGTCTGTAAAAATTAAGAAGCCAGAAGAAACTTAACGCCATGTTTTACACATTCCGTAACGAGGGAGGAAATAAAGACTAGGATTTGCCTAGTTATTTGGAGCATCTTTCCTTTTGCAAGTTCATATACCTTTTAGAGATAGCCTATTAGCACCAGAATCAGACTGCCTCCTTCCTCTCGAGAAAGCTACCTAAAAATGGTGCCCCTGATAGTCTAGGTAAGTGCCAATCTTCAGAGGCTAATACTTTCAATTTAAAATTTCTGTGCTTAGAGGGACCATCAGAACATGGCACCAGGCTAACACACCACAAATTCACACAGAGCATGCACTTTTGACTTTCAGCAAGGCTATCTTTGCTTTGTTGCACGTGCATGCTCTGTCACAAGATATTGTATTTACACTTTTCCTTGTTGCACTAAAATGATCCCCCTCTCTCTGAAAAAAAAAAATTATAGCTGGCTGCAATACAAGAGCAAGATTTTACTTTTGGTCAAAATTTACCACCCACAAACTCCCTCCCCCAAAAGCACCCCAAAACTACTTGTTTACATTTGGTACCTGCCAGCTGGATGTAGCTAAGAGGTTCACAGAGCGCCTGTGACCAAGCTCTTGAATTTGTACTTTAGTGCAGCTTTTGCTACAGTTAAAGTCACTGTAGATTGAAAAAAAAAAATCCCACACTTTTCACCTTGAAAGTTGTCACCAGGAGGCACCTGGCTTTTTCTGATCCTTAAGAAGTTGGATGGATAAATCTGCCTCCCTACCACCTCCCAAAAAACTCAAATAACTTCACTTTTTAAAGTCAAAAAGGGGGAGAAATTATTAGTTCCCATGTTCATATTCAGGTAAGCAAGCACTGTGTGAGTACAGCATAGGTATATGCGAAGTACAACTGACCAAAAGGGATTTGCTTTCATCCAGGTGCCTCCTGATGCACTATAGTTGAACAGGCTAAAAGGGAATTTAAAAAAAGTTTACTGGTTTTGATTTGTCTCACTCCTTTTGCCTGCAGATCAGGCCAAACATCAAGCATGTTGGGAGGGGCACAATTTAAAGCAACACTACTTGACCATAAAAACATTCTGCAGCAATGAACAATGCAGAAGGACAGACTGCAATTCATGCCAGAACACAGAAGATGGCATGCAGCTTTCTGCGGCTTCAAAGTTAAAGGATTTGCCTTTTTCTGCTCAAGTCTATATAAAGGTAGTTTTGGGCAGAGTATGCACAATGCTGCAGAAGATTCATTATCCAACAGAGCTCCAGAACTGTCAGTTTATTCACGTAACTTTGTTTGCTATGGTTTCTTTTAAATCCAAATTCACACTTCCTATGTTTTGCTCAGCTACACTGCTAGCTGCTAGATTTCCCTCATACCAAGACGGAACACAGATTTTTGCCCCCTTCAGAGCTCGCAGAGTTCTTGGAATTAAGAGGGACATCAAAGAGTACCCCAAACAAGTGAAGCTGTGGATTGAGGCCTTTCCAACTGAACAATAATATCTTCCACAAAGAGCAGCAAGGACAATACTGCAAGCACCAGAGCAAATCCACCCTGACAAAAGACATTTGTCTAGGCCTGCTCTTCATAGAAATCAGAGCACTTTTCAGGTGTTTACTGTTGCAGTAAACTGAGCCCCTCTCATCTTTAGCTGCTCCCATAATCAGTCTAATCCCTTTAACCCCAGCAACTTTCATTAAAAAAAAAGTTATATATTGAACCCAAAACAGAAAAAACGTATTTACAAGTTTGTACAAGTATACACATCCAATTCAATGGGACACTGCGCCAGAAGAAAGAGGGCCATGGCTCGGAAATAAGTCTACATATCAAGTGCTGTAACTACTAATGGAGACTTATGGAAACCAGTCTTTAGTGTTCTGCTAGAGCATACAAACTTTTCATATGGCTCCAGCAAAAGATGATAGGCTGCTCTTCCTTTCTAGAGCTACGATGTTGCACCTAATCAGCCCAGATTCATAGTTGTTTTGTTAAATACATGTATTTACAGTGTGGGTGAACTGCAGTTGCATGTCAACTCCTCCAATTTAAAAAAAGTTAAACAAAAAGTGTTACATTACTGATAGTTTCATCTCGCAGCCCTGGGCTTGAATATTGTTGAGGGGAAGCCAAGAGACAGGTTGGGGACTTTTGACCTGGAAAGAAAAAAGCTGTTGATTCCATGGGCTGAATCTGAAAAGTGATATTCAGAATGGTCTCATAGCATAAGGCACTTTGCACGAATAAGTAACAAGCTGTTTAGCTTAACAGATGAGTAACCAGGGAGAAGTTGAAATGCACTCAGTCGGCTGTTGGAGAATTTGAAATTGTAGACAAGCCTCTGTTCATCAGGTTTCTTCTCTTTTCAGGGTTTCTCTTCCCTTGCTGCCACTGTCTTCCTCCCCCTCCCCCCCAAAGAAAAAAAAAAATTTAAAACCAGCAGTTTAGTGCAACTAATGTTCGATCAGCACACAGTGCAAACAAGTGAAAAAAAACAAAAAAAAAGTATTCCTTCTGTTCTCTTTTCTTCCTTACTGCCAAATTTAAAAAAGAAAAATACATGTCTGAGCTCTTTAGTCTTCATAGTTCCAAAATGAAAAGATGAAGAAAAACCCAAAAAGAGAAGGGTATCCCCAAAGAAACGATGTGTCACAGATCTGGATCAAAGGGCTTCAGCTTCTGGAGTTTGTAATCAAAGCCTAAAAAACAAACAAACAACCTACAGTTAGTTCTCTTGAATTGTTTTCAAAAAACAAGGAATACACAAAAAAGAATTAAGTTTTATGGTTTAGCAGCTCTACCAAACCTAACTGAAGCACTGGTTCTGGTTACTTTGACCAATTACAGAAGTCTGATGTTCATTATTAAATGAAAGAATATAGCATGGCTATTATTTAAAAAAAACAAACAAAAAAAACCTATGAAGCTGCCACTCATACTGGGTGATAGAAAGGAAACACAGTCCAAGAGATGAGTGCATGGAAAAAGGATCTTTTCTTTAAAAATACAGCCGGTCCCCAAGTTATGAACGGGTTACGGATCAAACACCTGGCTGTAACTCAAAATGTTCATAAGTCAAACCCCATTGAGTTACATAGCAACCGTGCTTTTTGTAAGCGCAGGTCACGTTCATAACTCAGGGACCGCCTTTGAGACTGCTTAAATGCTGTGAAAACTCTTTAAATGAGTTTTCACAGCAATTTATTTACTTACAACTTTGAAAGGTTCCTATATTACAAGCATGGAAATCACAAGTGCAAGCTACGCTTCCATGCCTTAGACTCCCGGAATACTGGCTGTTCACTGTCAATGGCTCTCAATGGTAACTTAAAGAGGCATATTAGCAGCACTCTAAAATTTTTTAACCAAATTTAGTGGATTAACTTTTTAGTTACAGTATTACAATTAGGCACCAACTTATCCTTACCCATCTGTCAAACCCAGGATGGGTACTAGTTAGCCTGTCCTGACCAAAATTATTCGTTTCCCCCTTCCATATTTCCACAGAGAAAACAAATGATGATTTTTTTCTGGGTATAATTTAATGAGGTTAGTCTTCTCCTATAACTAGGAATCTTAATGGATCTCTGAAACAATATCCTGCTTCCAGAAACAAAAGCATTTATTTTCCCTTTTTCTTTTATATAGCTAGTAAAATGAATGAGGCTGAGCAGTGTCCACAAAGTCTCTGGAGCTCTAGGCTACAGAAGTCTAACCTTGGGATACACTAACTACAGTCAACTTCTGATAATCCGGCACCTTTAGGACTCAGGGGGTGCCGGATTATCAAATATGCCAGACTATCAGAAGGGGGGGCTATGAGGGGCCTGGGGTGGGGTGGGGGGATGCCACCCCAGACTCCTCATAGTCCCCCCCTTCCAATAGTCCGGCTCTGCCCCCAGACGTCCCTGATTCAGCCGCTGCTGGTCAGTTTCAGCAGCGGCTGAATCAGGGATGCCTACAGCAGAGCAGCTGGAGCGCTGCCTGGTTGGTCCCATAGCGCCGACCCTTGGCGCTGCATGACCAACCCGGCAGCCCCCCATCTGCTCTGCCCCAGGTGTCCCCAAGTCAGCCGCTGCTGATACTGATCAGCGGCTAACTCCAGGAAGCCGGAGGCAGAGCAGCTCTGCCTCGGGCTTCCTGGAGTCAGCCGCTGGCCAGTTTCAGCAGCAGCTGAATCCGGGACAGCTGGGGTGCTGCCGGGTTGGTCCCGCAGCCCCGAGGGGCAGCGCTACGGGACCTACCCAGCAGCACTCCAGCTGCTCTACCCTCGGCTTCCCCGATTCAGCCGCTGGGCAGCTTTAGCAGCGGCTGAATTGAGGAAGCCGGGGGCAGAGCAGCTCCAATGGTCCGGCTGCCCGGAGCACTGCCGGGTTCCTGATGGTGCCGGACCATCAGGAGTGCCGGACCATCAGATGCCAGACCATCGGCGTTTTACTGTACCGCTACAATTCCAGACGAACATACTCGGGGGATTTATACCTCAACTGCAAATATTGTTGCTCAGTGGGCTGAGGCATAAGAAGGAGAAACTGGCTCAGCACAGAGACCGATCTGTGTTTGGGTGTTTGTTTTTTTTTAAAAACACCTTTGACAGAATAGTAATAGAGATGTAGCCGTGTTAGTCTAGTCTAGCTGAAACAAAAAACAGGACCATGTAGCACTTTTAAAGACTAACAAGATGGTTTATTAGGTGATGAGCTTTCGTGGGCCAGACCCACCTTTGAGAGAGACATCTAATTAAAGAAACATCATCCTTCATACATACAGCTTTTATACACACTCCTTCAAGGAGACTACACAAGAAAATGCTGCATATCCCATAGATCAGGAAATGGAAAGACTGTAGGCTCCTGGGAGCTTGAATCAGTTCATTTTAATAGGTGAAGTGCTTGGCCCATTGTCACCCAAACAGAATAGATCTTTTGTCAACATTCCCCGCTTTCTCACTGCAGACATCACCCATCCTTCCTATTATTCCAGAACCAAAGGATCATCTTTGGCACATCCCTCTTGCCACAAACATCCCAGGCAACATCTTAATTCTGCCATTTTTTCATTCATAGCAATGCTAGAACTCTAGTTCAAACCCTAATTTCCCATCTTGAGTATTCCAACTTCTTTGACCTTATTAATTCACTCACTGCTTCTCCGAAATACATTCAAAACAACTGTTCATTCATTCTTACCTATCTTACTCCTTTTGAAACCCTGAGCTAGTACTCCATTTCATACAAAGTTCCAGCTCTTTGTCCTCACTCTCAAGGCCCTTCACAACTCTGCCTCCCCTCCCCCGTTCATTCTATCAGTCTCTACATTTTTCACTTGTATAATACTAGCCGCATCCACTTGAGTCAGCTTCTCCCATCATCATCTTCATTTGAAGTGGGTTGTGCCCACGAAAGTGAGATACAGCTACTTTTTTTTTTTTTTAAAGTCTAAGGTGCTGCAAAACCATTCATGTTTACATGTTTTCAGTTACCGACTAACAAAGCTACCCCTCAGACTTCTCCCATAGCCAGTCTACACTTTCTTCCTTGCTGAACCTCATATACCAGGGACAGGCAATATCCAGCCCATGGCCCAGGTCACAACCCCATTCCAGAACCTGCACCTCCCCCTCCAGGGTCAAGCTATCAGTGTAGGTCACAACTCCTTCCTGGACCACACCCCTCTTTCTGCACCTCAATCCCATACCCAGAGTTTCCTTCTGCACTCAACCTTCATCCTAGACCCTGTACGTGCTCTATTAATATCATGGAAGTACATGGCCCTTGGCCCCTTAAGCTCTTGTAGTGGTCCCCTAAATACAAAATTATTGCCCACTCCTGTCATACATTTAATAACCTTTAAATAAATGAATGGAGATGCCTATCTCCTAGAACGGGAAGGGACCTTGAAAGATCATCAAGTCCAGTCCCCTGCCTTCACAGCAGGACCAAGTACCATCCCTGACAGATTTTGCCCCAGATCCCTAAATGGCTTCCTCAAGGATTGAACTCACAACCCTGGGTTTAGCAGGCCAATGCTCAAACAACTGAGCAACCTCAAATTGATCCATGAGACTGCTACCCACTGACCCTCTCCCTCATGGCCCACCTCTGCTGTAACCCTTATAAGAAATCAGGTCATCAACAGGGCTATCAGCTGGGAAGAGCCAGTTTCTAAGTTTCTGCAATAGCAAGGCTATACATTATAGTGTATTTTTCCATGCCCTCAGTCCTTAGTCACTGCTGCAAAAAGCTCACAATCTTAATGTATTGCCTATACCAGTGTTTAACCTGTACTCCACAGAACCCTGGGAAGTTCACAGAATATAGCCTAGATTTCTGAAGTAGTCTGGCACCTCTATTTGAATTTATGCAATTAAAAAATATTTAAATCAGTGGTCTGTATAAAACCTAACATAGCAGTGTCTTGATTAGGGTCTCTGGGTGTTACCAATACTCATTTATGAAGGTAAGAGTCCAAAATCCAGCAGAAATCCATGTTTAGTGCCTCTTCTGAGTTTGTGACCAGGCAATCAACTTTTATATTAGACTGAAAAATATGTAAGTCAAACCTCTCAAATGAGGAAAGATTCTGCTTTATACATTACAAAATCATAAGCATGCTATGTCCATTCATTAACGAGTTTGTTGAGTTCACAGCCTCCCGCCATGCATATAGGCACGGCATTACTAAACGTGAAGGTATGCAAGAGGAGGACTGAATCAAGTATCAAAACTCTAACAGCTAGCCTGAAGGTTACCACCTTATTTACTGCAGCTCATGCAGATGAGCTCACCATGAAGAATGGAATGAGCAAAAACAAAAAAAATCATAAAAGGTGAAGGAATGGTAAGAAGTGACATGATCCATACAAATCAACTTGCTTTGCCTGCCTCAATTTTATTTCCCATTGCTACCCACCCAGCCTTGAATTCAGGGACCTTTTGAGCAATCACATACGTACATGGTTAAGGTTTCTCATCATCTACAGGTTCAGTGTGGTATTCTGCCACATACAGGCTCTTGTCAATGTTGCTTGGGATGGGTTTAATTTCAGTTCCCAACTGCTCCTCAATACTTTTCAGGTTGAATCGATCATCATAGGTGATCAAATTAATGGCCAGACCAAGGTGACCAAAGCGACCTTCAAAAAGACAAAGTAGTGACAGCTTTATCACACAAGTCTATACATTATCAAGTGACTGACGACACTTTATGATCATGCAGTAATAAAACAAGACTGACCAATCCAAACCCTTAAACACATCAGTAGCTATTTCAAGTTTCATATCCCCACTTTTTACTGTTTAGTATAGCTCCAGAAAAGAAAAAAAAAAGTGACCCTTCCGCTCCTCACAGGGGAAACGCCTATGTTAAACTAAACCACTTAAACTCTGCGCTCTCAGTCTCCTTGCAGATCATCATCCCCCGTCTGGTGTTTTCAATAGATTTTATCATTGGGCAAAGTTAAGCCAATAATTATGGGCAGCATTTTAAAAACAGTGGGTGGAGGGGGAGGTGCAATATTCAGTTTTCTATTCTTCCTCATCCTTGAGGACTTCAAATACAGCTGAACTCAAATTTTACAGATTGAGTCTATTGTGCACTTTTGTCAGCAATGAATAATTTTAGATTTTAGATTTGAATCCACTGACATTCAGACATATGAAGACAATCTTTGGGAGTACACACAGAAGTATCATGGCTACAAGTGTATGCTTACCAGAGGTTAATAACTGAACCACCTCATTTTTCCTCTACTTAGCTTTCCTGTGTACTCTCTTGAAACTTCCTTCTCAGAACAGCCCCTCCCACACATTCAGCTTCTCCCCTCAAGACCCCAGAAGTATGAATAATTACAAGATATACAGGCATACCAAGCTAAAGTTATTTATTAGCACAGATTCCCTGAAGAACATTTCTATTCCCTCACCTGATCTGCCAATACGATGGAGATACGTCTCTGCCAGCTTTGGAAAATCAAAGTTTATCACCACATTCACAGCTTGGATATCAATACCTCGGGTAAACAGATCTGAAACAGAATTACATTTAAATGGATTTAGCTTCACCAAACCATCACACTAGTAGTAATAAGGAAGTACAACAGAACTGGAAAGGGGGACAGCCTAACCAGTATGGAGAGATACTTGAATATAACACCTTAAAACATGGTTACTATATTTAAGAAACTGGATAGTCAACTGCTTATTTTGTACTAAAATTGTTAAAAATGTTCCCCTCCCTGATTTTGGGTAAGGATTAAGAACCAAGACACAAGGTTTCCAGACTTGGTACTGAGGATCCTACATATGAGGAACAGTCACTCTAGCATTTTTCAGATTTGCTTACTTTTGAGCATTCATTTCGCAACACCCTTACCCCTTGAAAGGAAAGCACACCATTTTCAGTTGAGTCTCAAAGGCATATAGAAGTTGTTTTCCTGCTAACTTTACTGTTTTGCTTTACTTCTGATTAGGGATGTAAGCAAGTAGTTGAGTATTCAACTACTCCTGCTTCCCTCCTTCCCCCGCTACTTCTGAATTCAGGAAGGAGGGGGAATAGAAACTAATGTTTGGGGAAGCCAGCTCTCCGCAGTGCTGCCTTCTCCTACCCCCGCTGCCACTCCCCAGGAAGCTGCCACGAAACAGACCCTGTTCACAGGGTCTGGCTGCAGACAGAGGCTGCTCCTGGAACAGCCCCTATCTGCAGTCAGCCCATGCTGCTGTGAACAGGGGCTGCTTGAGCCAGTGTAAACCAGGACCGAGCAAACTTGGCTCATGCTGGTCCAGAACCATTGTGGCTCTGGAACCGCTGCAGCTCTGCAGAGCTGGCGTGAGCCAGGACTGCTTAGTCCTGGCTCACGCTGGCTCCAGGAGCTACCCCCACTGCAGCTAAGCAGAATGCTTTCCCCTTATCGACTAATTGTCTAGCTGATACAAACTGTAAGGACACCTTTCTGGGAAAGTTACAATTCTTCAAATACAAGCTTCATCAATTCAGTTCATGACTGCCAGTCAGCAACACCACTGATCAGCTACCTGTGAAGTAGTACTATCAACAATGAGGTTGGGTAGTGGGGAATCCTGGTAGCAGGCTGAATGAAGGAAGGAGGAGTGCACAGTTTTACACACAGCTCCTTAGGTGTGTGTTACATTTGTGGGTTTTTCATATCAGCACAATTTAAGGTAAATTATGTTAGATGTTTTTCAAAATAACTTTAAAAACTGTTTTTTAAACAATTTGGTACTCTATTCACATGACATACATTTTACATAAGTGTTAAAAACCTCTACAGTTGTGGCAAAAACTAAAATAAGGATTCATTGGCAAGCTTGATCCTCAAGAGTATGAGAACAATGTAAAAATAAGCTGTACCTCTATGTAGAAATTAAGTTTTTAGTATTAAGTTAATCATGACTCATGCACCCTAGTAGTAATTATCCTATCAAATAAGGAAACCAGTTTATGAAGAAGTAAAATAATGGCTGCTACATACAAAAAACATGGGGATCTTCTGCAGAATATTAGGGGCTTGGCCAGACTATATAATTTATTAAGTAAGAATTCCTAAAGAAAGATGTTTGTTATTAAAAGATTAAACAACTTTACCTTTTCATGCTTTAGATGCTTCTAAAATTATCTTATGTGTAGTGCATAACTAGCTTAAGTAGTCCATGTGTTGAATGCAATCAAAGGGTACCCTTATAAAATTACTCTTATAAGTAGTTAGGTGGGACACGAGTGAACCTCAGCAAAAGAGTGATATCCTTCATGGAATTTGGGGATGTTTTAGGATATTACGAATGTTAATATTGTAGAATGGCAGTGAGTTGTGCTAGATATGCCATGTACAATACCTGCAAACTATTTGTATCTCTGTATTTTGAAAAAACACAACAAATGGTCTGGTAGCACTTTATAGACTAATAAAACATGTAGATGGTATCATGAGCTTTCGTGGGCACAGCCCACTTCTTCAGATGACCGGAGTTATGAGTAGGGGATATGAAAACTCACTACTCATAACTCCGGTCATCTGAAGAAGTAGGCTGTGCCCACAAAAGCTCATACCACCATCTACACGTTTTGTTGGTCTGGTAGCACTTTATAGACTATTTGTTTTTTCCTGTAACAGACTAACTCAGCTATCCCCTGAAACTTTTGGGTTATGGATACATATTTAAGTTTGTATTGCAAAACTTGTGCTATATTTCTGGAGGACACCCACAGACATTAATACACTCTCTAGCCTGCTTTATGGTTCATCAAAAGGATCATCAGCTATTCAACTGATCCACTGACAGAAGGCAAGGGATACAGCTTATGATTTAGCAAGGCATGCAGGGTCATGCTATGGACAGAACTTCTAAGGCTTCCAGGCCACATACTAGGCAGCTTGGGACAAAGTGGAAGCCACACTGCAAAACATAAAAAAAGGCCGCTGCATGTTCTCCAAATTGTCTTCATGTCTGCTGCTCACCTCTCAAATAACCTTTCTACAAAGTTGTAAAAAGAGGATTGAATAACCCATACCAGCTGTAGATGTATTCCAGAGGAACTTGCAAGCCAGCCAGTTCACCAGCACTGCTAGTAACTTGATAGACTTTGAATTCTTTGTACGTGTGACTGCTTTACCATTTAACATCTCTTGTTTTTTATTTCATATAATTTAGACACTAATAGATTGGCTGGCATTGTGGTATTTTGGGCAAGGGCCAAATACGGTAATAAGAGTTGACTTTTGGGGGTCAGAAGCAACATTCCCTCTAATTTTTCCATCCACATACAGAATAAATTGTTACATGCATTGAGGCATGTACAAATGTGCACTACCAGTAGAAACACATGCTATTGGCTGTGGGCATTCTGCTAATCAGCTGGGTGACACCTGAATCTCTCCTGTGCAGTCGCTCAAGCTTTCAGGGAACACTGATCAGAAGAACATTTTGTATGTGAGCAGAGTCTTAAAGTAACATCTCACTTTACTGGACATAGGTGCTGATTCGAAGCCAGAAAACTAGAATGAAATAAAGGAGGCTGTGTGATTTCTATTGTGCTTGACAGCCAGCATGAGGAATCAAACTCAGTTTGTGACTGGTTGGGAAGTTTAACTTAATTGTTACCCACTAGACTAGTGGGTATTAGAGATGTTAAAATGCATTAAGCAACTGTGTAACCACTGAAATTTTCAGTGGTTACGCACGGGAAGGCAGTCAGCCCCCTGACAGCCAGTGAGCATGGGCAACTGGTATTTAAGCTGGCTTCCTGTGCTACCAGGAGCCTGCATGTAACCATGATTGTTAACCATATACACGGTTACACTTTGAATCTCTAGTTAGTATCTGCTCACCCTTTCACAGCCTTCTCTCACTTTAGATATGCCAATGTGTGCTGCTCCAGACACCACAGGTCAAACAGGAAGGATGTTACATGGCTTGAGATAATATGCAAATAATAAATACTTCAAATATTTCAAATCAGTGTTGGGGGAAGAGGGCGGGAAAATTTAGTATTTGTCTTTTGTGCTTATTTAGCCACAGTCCTATATATGCTTGAAATCTAATGTTAGGAGTTCACACAATCTTAGCGTAATACATAACATTACAGTTAAATAACAGATACTTTAACAAGTTAGCAAACAATTAATTTGTAAGCCCCTAAAGAATCAGTATTAAGAAATAGCCAGCATGAACTTGTCAACAAATCACATCAAACTAGCATAAATGTTTGTCCAGATTACTGGCCTTGATTTTAATAAGACTTAAAATACAGTTCCACATGGTTCTCATAAGCAAATTAGGGAAATGTGATCTACACTGAATTATCATGAGGGCGGGCGTAACTGGCTGAAAGAAATTGTACTTGGAGTACTTCAATGGTTCACTGTCAATCTAGCAGGATCTCATGGGTTAGTCCTAAATCTGGTACCGTTAAATAGTTTTATTAAATACTTGGATAATGATGAGGAGAATAAGCGTATAAAATATGTAGAGGATACTGAGCTCAGAGGGGTTGCAAGCACTTTGGAGACAAGATTAGAATTGAACATCACTACCTTGAAAATTAGGAGAATTGTTCTGAAATAAAAAAATTAAATTCAATAAGGTAACTATTACACTTACCAAGGAAGCATCAAATGCACAGCTACAAAATAGGAAATAATTGGGTACATGGCAGTACCGCTGAAAAGGATTTGTTAATTATAGCTAATGTGAGGCAACTGTGAAAAAGGCTAATTACGTGTATTAACAGGGGCCCACATGTATTAAGACATGAGAGGCAATCTCTCTTCCATTGCTTTGCACTGATGAGCCATCAGCTGGAGATCAGTGTCCAATTCTGGAGACCAAACTTTGAGAGAGATGTGAGCAAACTGGACAAAGTCCAGAGGACAGCATAAAAAAAGTCTTAGAAAACCTTTCCTCAAAGATCAGGTTAAGACAACTAAACATTTAATCTTGATAAAAGAGGACTGAACGAGGATTTCATAAGTGTCATGGTCTACGTTAAGGGCTGTTATGAAGGTCAGTAATCAACTGTTATCCATGTCCACTGAAGGCAGGACAAGTAGTAACAGGCTTAATCTGCAGCAACAGAGATTTAGGTAAGTTATCAGGAAAAACATTCTAATTATAAAGGAAGGGGAACTCTGAAAGACTCCAGCATCCTGTTTAGTGAAGAGTTTTAAGAAAAGGCTGGAGAAACACCCGTCAAAGATGATCTAGGTTTATTTGGTCCTGGCTTCAACATTAGGTAGTAGGACTACAGCCCTGCCAATCCATTAACAGTCATTTTGTATCCATAGCTCATTTTTGTATCTGTGCAGGGCTCTATACGTGATCCCTCAAAGATTCTTCTAACCAAGGATTTATAATAATCTTGAAAGATTCTGATCACTGAAGGCAAGTATTAGTTGTCTTCATTATGATAAAAACAGGTGAATTGACTCTGTACACAGTTTGGTTAGAGTTGTAACAGTAGAAGAAAGAGCCTGTTATCTGCTACTATCACCTTCAGAAACAAAGAATTAAGCAAAGAGAGAAAGGAAACACTTACCAGTGCAAACAAGATTCCGGCATAAGCCATTTCGGAAATCGTGGAACACACGATTACGGTGTTCCTGGTAAAAACAGAAAATAGTTTTCATAAATTCATGGATCCCACAACTCCTCCCCTTGCATGGAACATACAAAGCATGTTCAATTTTGCATACTGTGCTTTTATCTATTTATGCTTCATATAAAAAAAAAAAAAAAAAGAGGCCTGTGGAACAACTTTAGGATATTGATATCTACCTAAACTGGCAAGAAAATGATGTAGTTTTAATTGATGCAATTCCCATGGATGGACAATCTGTTTAAGAGTACTTTTTAAAGTAAAGATAACAAAGTATTCTAACTAAAGAATAGAGGAGTCCTGTGGCACCTTATAGACTAACCCCTCTGATACTTAACTAAAGAATGTTTACCCCAAGGGCTTGTATGAACGTCTGAAGCACACAGATTAAAAAAAGTCACAATAAATCAAATGAAATTAGCCAAATCAAGTCTTCTGATAGTCAAAATATCAGGAACAAAAATAAGTTGCTTTGATTTCCTTTAGGATGGCTGTAATCGAAGTGCACTGCATATCAGGACTTTCAAGACTTATCCGCTGAGTAAATTGTATTTTATTCAATGTATGAAAAGTCAGTCCGTGCGCCAGCTCATCTTCACTCACTTTATATTCTTCAATTAATGTACCAGGGCAGTACTGAAAACATTCCAAGAGTATCAATCACAGGCAACAAGTTTAACAATAGGCCTGAGATGCATAAACAAATACGCACTCCACTGTGCTGTGAAAGTCAACTAGTCAGTGGCAAAAAAACAGCCAGAACACACCATATAGTAGAAGAGAGTATTCGGATTATTTGTTTTAACAGTAGCAGCAGCTAAAGAATTCAAAAATTAGTTTTAAGAAACTGGAATAAAGAAATTGTAAGTAAATTTCATTTTAAAAAATGGCATTTGAGCCTACTACTACTACTACTAGTTTGCAAATCTAGTGAGAAATAACATTCACTACCAACAGATGAACAGAATTGAAGTCTGGGGTTAAACCATGGTGAGAACTGACCTAAAATCATGAAAATGGTATCTTGGGAGTCACGTAAGACAAATTTAGCTAAAACCAATTTTGATACATGTTTTACATTTAGGTAAATCTGACCATGTGACTGAGTTGCTGTACTAAGAAATATGGATCAAGACTTCTTTAATGAAACCTGTTCATTTTGAGACATAACTGGCAATGTGACAATAGTACCTCACCACAGTTATAGTTCCTGAAGGACTAACAGAATCCAGACTAAATATTATTCTAATGTGCACCTGTATTCAGTTGCTTTCAAAGTAACCAGGATAGCTTCATACTCACCTGCCTCATTTTAGCATGGATATAGAAGCAGGAATAGCCCAGCTGGGAGATCTTCTTGGCTAGCAGTTCAACCCGTTGTGAGGAGTTGCAGAAAATGATTGACTGGTTAATCTGGAGCTGGAGAGAGAGGGAAGGGAGTGTTAAACAGCAGCAGCATTTTACTTACACAGCTTTGAAATTGAAGAGAATGAATACTTTTCAAGAATGAAAAAAATGCCAGATTCCAGCTAGAAGTCATTAGCTCTTCTAGCTACAAAGAAAAGATTTGACTGTTCTCCCAACAGGAGTCCTGCAGTTTAATGGTACAGAAAGATAAATGTGTGTTTTCAGACGATATCTTGGTCATCACATTTCAAAGCTACAGCATGAAACTGACAAAGTGTCATTGTTCATTTAAAGAAAGCCACTTTTTAAACAATATATTAAGTTAAGGAAATCTCTTTTCTTGCCAGAATGCATATCTTTGGCATTAAATTATGCTCTAAAAGATAAAGGAAGTGGTTCAGACTAGTGTTCTAGTTGCACCACATTGCCTGGTAGAATACTTACCCTGGAGAACAATGTATTGAGGCAGTGTACTTTCTGCCTTTCAGTTACATAGGCATAGTATTGGGTAACTCCCTTCAAAGTCAGTTCCTCCATCAGGTTAATCTCATAGGGTTTCTGCAAATGGGAATTCTGAAATAAAGATGTGTTTCAAATTAGATTACAGTAGAAAATACATGCCTATCTACCCTCAAAAATTAAGTACTCTCATACCTAACTTACTATCTTACCATTAGAGATGCATCGCATTCTTCACAAGGATGCATCACCTATCATCTTAGTTACACTAGCATAGGGGTCTCAAACTCCCATCCCATGGGCCTTTTGTTGGTTGGAGCCTGTAATCTGGCCTGGGGAGAAAGGGCTGCGTCCCCAAACTCATCATCCAAACCTCTCACCCTGCCATGGCACCCCTTCCCCAAGGGACCTGACCACAGGGATTACTGGGCAGCAGCAGCTGAGTCCCCTTGCAGTTCCCATGGCACCAGGAGCCACAGGGAAGCAGAGTGTACTAGGTGGGCACACTTGCTCTGCTTTCCAGTGGTGATATCTGATCACTGCTGCCATCCTGCACCTGCGGCAGAGTCTCTAGGGGGATAGGGTGGAGCAGCGGTGGGAAGAGGGTAGGGCTTGGACCCCCCCCCCCAAATTGCCAATAACTCCTACTCCGGACTGGAGTGTAAGTAGTGAAGATGATAAAACCTATGCTAGTGCAGGGGTCTCATACAAGAGTGAGGATCTTAAAACAGCAGTTGGTAAGATCTTTATTAATAATGGCCATATACAATTAATGCTTATTTAAAAGTATTCCAATTTAATGTTTCCTGGGATAGAAAATTGAACCCAGAACACAACTTGGAATACCCATGCATAAATCAGAGGAAAAAAAGAGACTTGTTTGAATGATGCACATTTATGTGCATGATGAAAAATTTACACATTCATGTCCAAATGGGCATAAAGAGGCCACTTACCATGAACTTCTGTACACTAAGAGGGAAAGTGGCTGAGTAGAGCAAAATCTGCCTGTTTTTAGGTAGCGTAAGAATAATGTCCTCCATTATTTGAACAAAATCCTGAGACAGCAACTTATCTGCCTGCAATGAGAGGAAAAAAAAATATAAAATAGTGGCTGCAAATTCTAATAAAAATATCCAGAAGATCATGCAATAACTAATGTCCTCAAAATGTAGGCTACAAAGCTTACTTTGGAGTATAATGCCTCATTTCCAGGTACTAGGGAAAAATCTTTAATTCAATTTATCCAGACCTACTTCAAAAGCCTTCAATTTAAGAACTGTAATAGACTTAGGAAGGAGGAGCACAAGACATTTCCCATTCCTTAAATGGATTTCATAGATTCTAAAGCCAGAAGGGAGCCATGTGATCATGGATGTCAACTCAGGCCATGAACTTCTGCAAAATAATTCATACTTTTTTATATATATCTTTTAGAAAATATTTTTTCTTGATTTAAGAATGGTCCATGATTGAGAATCTATCCGTATCTTTGGTCAATCATTCAAACGGTTCATTAGGCATCGATTGACAGTGATTGGGCAACAAAATGGCAAATAATATTTAATGTGGATAAGTATAAGTAATGCACATCAGGAAAAATAACCCCAACTATGTGTACAGTATGATGGGGGCTAATTTGGCTACAAGAAATCAGGAAAGAGATCTTGGTGTTATTGTGGATAGTTCTCGAAAACTTTCACACAATGTGAAGCGGCGGTCAAAACGGCAAATAGGATGCTAGGAATTATTAAGAAAGGGAGAGAAAATAAGAACCAGAATATCTTACTGCCCCTGTATAAAACTATGGTACGCCCATATCTTGAATACTGTGTACAGATGTGGTCTCCTCACCTCAAAAAAAAGATTTTGGCCTTGGAAAGGGTTTAGAAAAGGGCAACTAAAATGATTAGGGGTTTGGAACGGGTCCCATATGAAGAGAGGTTAAAGCGACTGGGACTTTTTAGTTTAGAAAAGAGGAGACTGAGGGGGGATATGATAGAGGTGTGGAGTGGGCGGATAAAGAAAGTTCCCATAATAGAAGAACTAGAGGACACCAAATGAAATTAATGGGTAGCAGGTTTAAAACTAAGAAAAGAAAGTTCTTCACACAGCATGTAGTCAACCTGTGGAACTCCTTGCCAAAGGAGGTTGTGAAGGCTAGGACTATAACAGAGTTTAAAGAGAAGCTAGATAATTTCATGGAGGTTAGGTCCATAAAAGGCTATTAGCCAGGGGATAGAAATGGTGCCCCTGGCCTCTGTTCGTCAGAGGCTGGAGAAGGATGGCAGGAGACAAATCGCTTGATCATTGTCTTCGGTCCACCCTCTCTGGGGCACCTGGTGCTGGCCACTGTCGGCAGACAGGCTACTGGGCTAGATGGACCTTTGGTCTGACCCAGTACGGCCATTCTTATGTTATGTTCTTATTGTTTAACATGTACACCTTATTCCTAATCTGATCTTGACATGCTTCAGCTTCCATCCACTGGATCATGTTATATCGTTCTCTGCAGACATGAAGACATTTAACATTTGTTCTCCATGTATGTACAAAAGTCAACTTACAAACAGGTTATATTCCAAAGATTTCATTTGTAAGTTGGTTGTTTGGAACTCTGAACGCAGGGGTGGCTATGTAGCCAGTGGCTGCAGAGAAGTGGCTATTTCCCCTTCAAAGCACCACTTCTCTCCAACTGCTGGCTGCACAACCCTTCCCCCTACCACCACCTGTGCAGCTTGTTCCCATCAGGTGGCAGGTGAGCCTTTTTGTATGTGTGGGCATTTGTAGGTAAGGAGTTTGTAACATTGGGAGTGCCTGTACTTACAGACTGATCAATTCCCCACCTTAGGAAAAAAAGCAGACATACTACACCAGATACTGGTCTTTTTACCCCAGTATTCTGTCTGAGACAGCAGACAATACCAGATGCTTCAGAGGGAATGAAGACAGCAAGGCTATTTCACTGATCCATCCCTTGTTGTCCAGTCCCAGCTTCAGACTGTTGAAGGTCTAAGGACACCCAGAACACAGGGCTGTGATTGTGACCATCTTGTCTAACAGCAACTGATGGACTTATTTCATCTCCGTGAACATATCTAAATCCTTTCTGAATCCAGTTATACTTTTGGCCTTCACAATATTCCATGACAAGTTACACAGATTGACTGCATATTGTGTGAAACACTTGTTTTAAACCCTGCTGCCTATTATTGTAGTATCCTGGCACAGGATGAAACTTTTCAACCTTTCCTTATGGGTTCTAACACTGTCAACTTTTTCAAATGCCACTGTCTATTGGGTAGATGTTTTCAGAAATGTATCCACAAAAACTCCAAAGTCTGAGTGCTAGCAACTATTTTAGACCCTATAATTTTGTATGTATAGTTAAATTAATGTTTTTCAATGTGCAATACTTAGAAATTCTACATTGATAAATCTATTATTTTGTAGCCCAACCACCAAGATTTGAGAGACCTCTTTGTAACTCTTTGCAGTCAGCTACTTGTTAAACTAAACAGATTGAAATGCTCAAGTTTATCACAAGGTAGGTTTTCTAACCCTTTATTAAATTCTCACAGCTCTTCTCTGAGCTCTCCCCAAATTTTCAATGTCTTTCTTGACTTGACACCAGAAAAGGCAGATTTTTTCCACCAGCCGTCACACCAAGGCCAGAACAGAGGTAAAATAACCTCTTCTTAAGATTCCCCTGTTCATGCATTCAAGAATCTCACTACCCTTTTTGAGCACCACATCAAACTAGGATCTCAGGTTCAGCTGATTATCTAGAATTAACCCCAAAATTATGTCTATCAGATGTAGCAAGCTATTTCTCACATCTCTACTTTCCCAGCCTCTCACTCAGATTGAGGTGTCAAGAAAGGCTAATAGGACCATTGTTTTACTCTATTAGGGAATATTTAATAAATGACTAGCAGAAAAAAGGTAAATCATGACGCAATGGCTATAAAATGGACAAACTGAGACTTGGAATTATGCATAATTTTTAAATGCTCAGACTAACCATAACAATTTACCAAAGATGATAGTGGATTTTAAAATTATGATCAGGTATTTTCTAAAAAATATATGCTCTAGGAATTATTTTGGGGGCGTCCCATGGTGTTGTACAGGAGATCAGACTGGTTGTAATATAAAATAGATTTATAAATTTGAAAGTCAGTTTATACTGACTGTTAGAATACAAACAACTCATTTTAAACTCAAGTCACACGCGCGCACGCCCCCCCCAAAAAAGAGTAACTACCACCCATTTCAGAAGAGAATATTAACCTAATGCTTAGTGATCCTACAAAATAAGGGGAAGTTAACTTTTCCTATGAATTTGGTTGTAAGTCTTAGAAAAGTACATGTCAATAATTCTTTACTTGCAGAGTACCAAAGCTGCAGAAATGGATCAACCTCAGCTTTATAGTATTACAAAAAGTGAAAAATTTATTGGCTAGTAATGTTCAATGAGCAGGCCTGCAGAGATGCGCCAGTGTTTTAACCTCGTTAACTATCTGCAAAACATGAAAAGATATTAAGATAGTGACTTGCCTCATCCAGTACTATCATCTGGACATGTTCAACCTTTGCTACTCCTTTCTTGATGAGATCCAGAATTCTCCCAGGAGTTGCTATCACCACATGCACTGTACATTTTAAAAACATACTTAAGTTAATTTTTGCTTAGATAAGCAAAAAAAACCACAACATTGGTTTGGCTGACAATTATACCAAGTCAACTTTAAGGATTTGTCTGTACAAATAACTTGCGGAAAAACTGGGATGTAAATGTACCTCACAGTAGCCTGACATGCATTTACATATGTTGATCCTGTTTCCAGACACTATAAATTCTGTAGTATACGGAGATAATCCTGTTTCAAATTGGTGTAGACCCAAATGCACGACAGAAGTTACAAAAATTTTAAATAATTAATAGTCTTGAAGCATCTTAGACACCAACAAAAAAAGTAGATGGCATCATGAGCTTTTGTAGGCACAACCTACCTCTTCAGATGTAACAATTTACAGTGCACTGCTGCAGGCTCCACATGGAAAGCAAGAACATGGTATATTTACACTCCAGTCTGTTGCAAGTTAGACATTTGCATAGACCACCCCCTTAGACACATGTAAAATGGATGCACAAAACAGCCTGGCTCATAAAAGGCCAGTGCTAGATAGTATTAGTAGCTGAAAGTTTTTAGTCTTGCACAGTATTGCAAAGTGTAAGCCACTGAGGCACAACAATCTTAATCAGGCAGTGTCCTAACCTGTATCATCAAGCCTCATTATGTCATCACGCAGATTGGTGCCTCCTGTTGTTGCCATCACTTTGGCACCTCCCATGTGTTTGCTAACCTGGATACAGATCTGACTGACTTGCAGTGCTAGTTCTCGAGTGGGAACGATCACCATTGCTGAAAAAGATACACAAATCCTCAGCACAGGCTTTTATATTGCATTTTATCTTGTAATACCATCTTCCTCCAAATACAGAAATGCACAAAAGAATGCATTTATCCTTATGAACGGGGCTTGCCAAACCGTGGCGAGCCCTGCTCGCCAGCCGCACTGTCTGGCGTTCTGCACATGTGCAGATCGCCCAAACCCGGCTCTTCCGGGTTACAATCTACTCGCCACGGGCGAGTAGATTGTATTATTTGTCAAGCCCTGCTTATGAAAGCATGCATTCAAACTATGATGGCTAAACTTAAGAATTTTCATAGACCTTCTTAAACTTACTAATGAATCACCATGGAAACTGCATGGGTATTCTTCATGGCAAGAAGAAGCATAAGCTAACTGGCATTCCTTGTGTGGTATTGAACAGTGCCAGCCACAACTTATATCCCAGCTACCTGAATACTACACTTCTTTTTAGGGTGTAAGTAAAGATTGAGAAATTGAGATTTTCAAAAGTCTTGGGTTATTTTTTTTGTAATTCAAAAGTGTGTCCAAATTCCCAGGTTGCTTTCAAAAGTTAAGCCACCAATTTTAGGTATAAATCTGCAGGCAATGAAGCTACATGGACACCTATAATCTTTTAATGTCCCATCCATCCCACAAATAAGTAGCGCTGCTGCAGCATACATGTCAGTTCCTAGATGGAGCTTCATGCAAACCCGTCTTCAACTTACCTTGTATATTGTCCTTCTTTAAGTCTAGCCGTTCAAGTAAGGGAATGAGGTAGGCTCCGCTCTTGCCCGTTCCATTTTTAGCTCTAGCCAAGATATCCCTACCAGACAAAGCAATGGGAATACTCTCCTCCTGAAAAGCAAGCATAGGACAATGCAACAGTAAAACCTCAAATACAAACTTAAAAAAATAAAATAGGCTATTTAACACAGACCCCGATTAGAGACAGGTTAACTTTTCAATGCAACACGAAGTTATATAAGACCATATATAACTAAGGGCACATCTAAACAAAGATTTTTCGAAAGACGATATGCAAATTCCATGGGAATTTGCATCTCTTCTGAACACATTTTTGAAAAAGGATCTTTCAAAAGTGAAAGTGTATGCTTTTTGGGGGGAGGGGAACCCCTTTAGAAAAAAACGTTCTTCCTAAAAAAAGGTTTACATGGTTTTTTGAAAAAGGGCCCCCCCCCCCCCCCCCAGGAAAAGAAAAAGTGTCCAGACTTTCACTTTCAAAAGAACTTTTCAAAAATGCGATCAGAAGAGATGTAAATTCCCGCAAAATTTGCATAGCCTTTCAAAAAATCTTTCGAGTTTAGATGTGCCCTAGGTATGGTCCTTGCCAGACTCATCAGAATGAAGACAAATTCAGCAATCCACTTATGAAAACTCTGCTCCCAGGATCCCATTTATCAATACCCCATTAGTCTAGCTTGGTCATAGACAGAGTGAATGGAACAGCTATCACAGGAACGATCCCAACATAGACATACATGTATAGAAACAAAAGAAGGTGAAAGGTGCTACCAAACTATCGCATGGGGAGAGAATGTTACGCCACCCTTTTCCCGACACCTATTAGGCCAGAGAACGAAAGAGGGAAAACTGCCTGCGTGACTTGAAAATCAGGCACCTATTCTAAACATTTAGGGTTGCCAGATATTTTCACAAAAAATCCCGAACATGGCAGGGAAAAAATTGGTTGATCAATTACCAGACTGTCCTGGCAAAAACCAAACACCTAGCAACCCTATAAACATTACATTGTTAAAACAAAGGGTTTTGTAGCATTTTAAATTTAAAATATTCTCTATGGAGACAGACTCAAGGACCCAAAGTATGTTTATTTTCTGTTGTTCAGTAAGAGTATTAAACTATTCTTTAACACTTAAGAAAAAAAGGACAGTTAGAGCCTGGGTGAAGAGAAATGTTCAGAATGCTTTGTATCATATACCCCACTGATGAGCTGAAACAGCCCATGTGTGTGTAATCTTTCTCCATAGTCCAATTAAAAAAAAAACACTACTAAAGAATTTTCAGATCACTTTCCATCAAAATGCATTTCAGTCACTTTTTGCCCCACCACTCCTGAGAGGTGCGTAATTAGGTTGGCACAGTGTTGCAATTAAGGAGTAAGATGAACTGCTATAAGGTTCTACAGAGACTTTTTGAGATGATTACATGGCATGTAGTCAACCTGTGGAACTCCTTGCCAGAGGAGGCTGTGAAGGCTAGGACTATAACAGAGTTTAAAGAGAAGCTAGATAATTTCATGGAGGTTAGGTCCATAAAAGGCTATTAGCCAGGGGATAAAAATGGTGTCCCTGGCCTCTGTTTGTCAGAGGCTGGAGAAGGATGGCAGGAGACAAATCGCTTGATCATTGTATTCGGTCCATCCTCTCTGGGGCACCTGGTGCTGGCCACTGTTGGCAGCCAGGCTACTGGGCTAGATAGACCTTTGGGCTGACCCAGTACAGCTGTTCTTATGTTATGATCAACTCAGAGCTATTAAGTTTGTCCATTAAAAGTGAAGAGACAAGATTGCTGAAATCAATGGGACAACTCTCACACTTGAAATCTCTTAGCAAATTGGGACTACAGCCCCCTTAGCTTCTCTGTTGAGAATCATGGGATCAAGCTTTTAAAAAAGTAAAAAGCGCCTAATTTTTGTTATAAGTAGTTTAGAATGAATTAAGTTTCAGAAATTACATGGTCAAAGCCCTAGTGTCAAAACCTCAAGGAAGCTCAAAAGCTGACTAGGAGATACATGTCAGCACGTGGTACAAATAGTCTGCTCTGTACTAACCTGAATAGGAGATGGCTTTTCCCAGCCCATTTCAAAAATTCCCATCAGCAACTCCCTTTTCAGACAGTAATCTTCAAACTCATTTCCTTTTGTGGAGGTCACATCCTGAGTTATCAAGAAAACAGAACAGTAAGACCAAGTCATATAAACTATCCCCATACATTGGTTTGACTGAATAACCTACAGAGACTATAAATCCAGGACAAAGACGAGCTGGCTAAATGGATTAATAAACGCTTTCCTACCCTGTATCATTGTACAATTGAGAAAAATTTATGTAATTCAACCACGAATAATTACATAGTATTGGTTACTGGAGGCCAAAGTAACCTGCATACACACTTAAAAACTGACTTGCAGAAAGCATTAAAAATAAGACTTCACCCTGTAGTATTCTTAAAAGTAAAAACATATCCTCTGAGTCTCAACATAACTGAGAAGAGAAACATTTACCAAGTAATATATATATCCTTAGAGATATTCTCTCCTTTTAATTAAGTTTTAAAAAGTAGATCAGTAATGAAGTCTCGAACTGTTACAACACAGCAGGACACTGTCACGGCCATTTCTCACACCCTCAATCCCATGCCTGTAGTTACCTTTAAAACATTCTTACCGAAGTTTTGATTCTCAGATCCTTTGGAGGGAGTTTTAAAGTCTTCTTCCAGTCATCACCAGGTCTGCAATATAAAAACTCTAGTTAATATTCCTATTCTGTGTTAGTAACAATTAGTATTTTGTGCAAATTAACAAAACCTCAACCCTCTAGTGAGGTAACATTTCTTCAGTTTTACAAATGTGGAAACTGAAGTAGAGAACTTAACAAGGAGGACTATGACAAAACAAGAATTAGAACTCAAATTCCTGAAGTCAAGTCTCAAACTTAGAACACTATACTGCTCTCTAAATGTCACGATGTAGATGCATCAAAAAAGCTGCCATAATTAGGTAAGTCAGAAATGCTGTGTTTTTCTTAGACTATTTTAAGAGGAGAGTTTCTCAAGAACTGATTAGCTACTCACTCTTATAGCTACTAGCAAATATGACCAGCAACTATTCACTTCAGGAAGTTCCTCTCACTATTTCAAATCCTAGCCAAGTTTCTCCTAGCCAATCTTATAATCCTATCTTTTTTCCAAAGATAAGAACTGTCATATGACAACACAGCACTGCTTCATGATAAACTGTATCTGCTCTCAGTGTCAAATGCTCATATCTAATACCTTGAAATACAGTAAGAACACAATTCAGTTGTCTAATCTGTACAATTTCAACCACGAGGAAAAAGGAGAAAAGTTTTCTTCCCATCCCCAACTGATGTCCTGTTAGCCAGATTCTCAATAATTTAAGGCTTTGGACTAAAGCCATACTATATTTTGGACCACTTCCGTGAATTCCATTCTCTTCATCTGGCAAGCAGTTTCTTCAAAATGACTAAAGCAGTTGAAAAAGCATAAAGAGGAAAATATATGACATTTATGCAGCATAAAAAGTTCACTTTACACATGTCTCAAGTAACAGACCAAAATTTGAAGCTGGATATGGGCATAGTTCTTCCCTCCAATTTCTAAGTCCTGAATCCATAGTTTATAATGCTTTTTTAGAAACTCCTAATTTGGGGGGAGAGGAAGGAACTGAGGAGTTTAGTGTTACAATTGTTCCATATACACTTTATTCAAACCTGGACTAGTATAAAAATTAAATTTAAATATAGGGATTACACATTTTAAAAGTCATGTTTTGTGAATCATCTAGGAAAGAAAATGAGCAATTTGGGTCAATGAAAAACTGGAATTTCCAGTTTTAAAATATTACTCTCTGGTTCTAGCATTTAATGAGAAATATCTAAAAAACTCATGTAATTGACCTGTGTGTGGGTAGAATAGGAGACAAGGAAACAAGACAATACACAAAGTGACTGAGGTCCATTATGTCACAATTTACAACTTGTATTAAGCTATGGTCATATACACTTGTATTAAACTACAGGGACTCCCTATTTTCCCCTCACCATTAGTACTGATGCTCAACAAGTGATCAGAATGAAAAGATGTTTCTCAGGGATGAGTAATCAAGGAAGGAAGAAAAGCAATTATGGTAAGCCATCAACCTTGGCTTTGCAATAATATACACCTTAACAACATGCCTTAACTTAATTCTCACAACTGATAAATAACCAGGATCTGCCAGAGAGTATATTAATTTCACATTAATCTTCTGAATTATCAGTAGTGCATATTCTCATCTGACAGCATATTTTGCATTTTAAAGTAGCAATAGGACAACACAAGAAATTTTACTCTCCAATGCCTAGCAACTCAACACTTAAGACACTACTTAACATTTATGCAAATACTTACTTAATAGCGGTGGTCATACTCTGCGCTTGCTGTTGAGTTCCATTATTGATTGCATTGGTGTTCTTCAGCTGGTTCATCTGTTGCTGAGTCTGTGTCCCCGCACTTCCTGGGACTGCACTTGGTTTTACAGGGCCTCTAAGCTGCCCATTCTGACTGGATAGACCCATTATAACAGGGTTCTCTGTTCTGGCCGTGCTCATGTTTGTTTGTAAGGATGTCTTTTTAGACGTCAAAACTTTGAAAGTCAGTACAGAAACTGTAATAACAGTTTATTAGACTCTCCAAAATGAAGAGATAAATAAGTCTTGCTCAATATATGAGTCCTTTATTGCAATGCAGGCAAGCACCTGTAAGTCTCTCAACAGTAAAGTAGTAACTTGCTCTGATGCACTTGTGGAACAACTTTTTTTAAAAAAGCCCTCTAACAAAGTTGAATTCCATCTGAATTCACTCACATCAATCTGAAAAAGATGCAGAAAAAACAATTAATACACGAATTGACTGTGTACAAATATATCACATTACTGTGATTACAAACTATTATGCTATATGAACTGAAGCATCACCACAAGCATCCAAATCCTCAGCACTTTGTCTTAAAAGACAGTATCATAAATAAGTTAGCTTCCATATGATTATGTCCTCATTTTTAAATCTTATGCCATAATGTGGAACTCTGTAAAAATGTGTACTCCTCGCATTTTTATGTGATTAAGTATTTTACAAATATTAACTTCACCTCAGTAACATAGGTATGAGTCACAGAGATATTTCACCCACATTTGAAGTGCAGCCATCTCCGGGTTAGAACACAGCAACTGTTTATCACCATAAAGTAATGGCTACATATTAATTAAGAATAGGAGATGCAGTCCTCTAAATTAGAAGGGGGGGAGGAGAAGAGAGTATTTATGCAGTTACTTTACTTGCTCTTTTCCTCTCTCAATTGGAGTAGCAGCAGAAAAGAAGAGCACATTAATATAGCAAGTAAGGCTGAAAAAACATCTGAAATAACCTGAACAATACTGGAAATCTGAAAGTCGTTTAGTTTTAACTGCTGATTTAATGGGTAAGCTGTACAATTAAAAAAAAACACAACAATTTCAACTTCCAATAGTGAACACAAGTCCTTCACTCAGTGAATCAAAACAACTTCCTGTTTTATTTCATTCAAGAAAGGTAAACAACTACTTACAATACTTCAGTTTTCTTATCTGAGACAGCAAATCTGACAAGTCTTAGAGACTCCCTTCTTAATGTTTTAATTGTGCTAACACCTTGAGATAAATTCAAAAAAGTTTTCCTCACTAAAACGCCTGCCTGTTGCCCTCAGAAAATAAGTACATACAAAACCAATTCAAAATTTAGTAAAAAAACATCAAATGGTCTGGTAGCATTTTATAGATTAACAAAACATGTAGATGGTATTATGAGCTTTCGTGGGCACAAACCACGTCTTCAGATGACCGGGGTGGAGAAGTGATGACTGAAGAAGTGGACTGTGCCCATGAAAGCTCATACCACCATCTACATGTTTTGTTAGTCTATAAAGTGCTACCACAGACCATTTCTTGGTGTTTTTTTCCCCCTGTACAGACTAACTCAGCTACCCCCTGAAGCTTCAAAATTTAGTGACAATATTGGGAAAGTATTATAATGGTTTGATATTTTGTTTGCTAAACACAATGACTTGTACTCTTCATAGAAAATTACTGAAGTGCAACTACAAGATAAGTTACTGTGAAGTAACCCTAGAACTGTTACTAACAAGTCTACCTCCCTCACAAGGAAGGGGGAAAGGATTTACAGGCTTGACTTACAGTATCACCACTACAAAGAACTGCACTGTATAAAATAAATGCAAAACAAAAGGTGGCATTAGCTGATCACTGAACTCTTATAAAGAAGTTGTTTACCTGATACCTTGTCCATACCAAGGTTAAAAAAAAATCACCTATATAATTCAAATACTAACATTCCTTAAAGGGACATTATCTAGTCACTTTCAAGAGCAATTCTAAGTAGTTTTAAGTACAACAACTTGCTTCTGAGTCTGACAATGTCTATTGTTTTACAACCAAGTTGTCTTTTTTTTAAATCAGCCCTCAGTTCCTTTACTTGTATTTCACAGTAAAGACAAAGCAAGTGACTATGGAAGGGAAACCGTTAAAATTAGTATGTGAAGTACTGCTAACTGCACAAAACCATGTTTAAATACCTCCTCCAATATCTGTCAAGTCATTTTACATGGCACACCTTTTGAGGTGAAATATTTTGACACAGATCATTTTCAAGTACCTTTAATTTACAGGGACACTTATACATCCAAAAATCATTTTAATGAAATGCTTTAAGTATTAGAATGTTTAAGAAGTCAAGAGAAACACTATTTGGATTTAGACATTTCCCTTCTATGTTACTACTAAAAAAAAAATTGAAACATATAGCTAGTCCAGAAGCAGCAAACATATAAACAGGGAGTTACAGCAAGAAGTAAATTCAATTTTGAATTTTTTAAGGCTCTGTTTAATAACCTACTTTCATGCTATTTTACCTGACAACATGCCTTTGCACTCCTTAACACTCACAGGAAAAACATTAGATTATGTTATAGAGTAAAACAATATTTAATAAATCTGAACAAACCTAAAACTTCAGGGACAGCTTAAAAAATTAGTGCTCTTTACTAGCAAACCTCAACATTCCCCCTCCCCCTTTTCTAAGCATTTCCTTTCTTCATTTTGACCACGTATGCAGGACTCTGGAAGCCGCTGCCACTAACTATATTATTTCCACTCCCCTTTCTGCAGTGAACATCCTCCTTTTCCCTGGGAGCTTTGATTTTTGCCTAAAGATAGCACATAACGCTACAAGAAAAAACAAGACTGGGAGGGGACACTTTTTAAGAGATCCCAGGAATCACTCTTTCGTTGTTTATAAAAACTACTCCCTTGCATCTTAGCAAAGACCTCATTAGTAGGCGGAGGTGAGCTGCCCCAGAACCGACCTACATCTCCTCTAACCATAAAAGCCCTCACTGAAGCTCCAATCAGTTCAGAAATGTCAGCCATAGTCTCATCCTTCTACACACCAGAAAAAGGTCTCGTTTTCCGAACCAAACAATGGAGCGCAGCAGCTTAAGCATTTATTGCTTCCCTCCCACTTCGCCATGGGGCTCTGCCCGGGACTGACAGCGCTTCACCACCAAGCTTTGGTGTGAGTCCGATGCAGTTTCCGCAGTGCTTAGGAAAGGGGGCGATTCCGAAAGGCGGGCGCCCGGCCTAACAGCAAACGTCCATAAACCCTAGAAATGTATCTGCGCAACATCAGCGGGCACCATCCGTCGGGCAAACAAAAGACACCCCCGGCCGCTCGGGCCCCAGACCCCGCGGGGGCGGTGCTCCCCAGACGCCCAACCCGCCCCCCGGGCAGGGCCCCTAAAAGATACAACAGCGCCGCCCCCCCCGCCCTCAAGGTCAGGCTGCCAGATACAAGCCTCCCCCCCCACAGGACCCCCGCACACACCGCAGCGCCGCCCCCCGCAGCAGCGATCGCCCGCGCCCTGGGTAACACGCCCCTCC